CGCTTTGCCTGTCTCCTTTATTTGTAATATCTTCTTCTCGTTTTGTAGCAAGTCTAAAAGGGTGATAATAGCAAGAACACATAGGTTTAACATATGGAAGAACCTCACGAGTTGAAAGATCAAAAGCTAACAAACAGGATATGAAACAACGTGGTATTTTCGTTTTGCCCAAAAAAAACACTCATTATAGCCTCAGGAAAAAAATGTAAGCCAACCCGCTGCAAACTCCAGCTACACACATCTAGGTTACTCTCTTTATTTCCATTTATTAAAGCAGGAAGAGTAGAAATAAAAGTACTTCTCGCAAGAGGTCTTATTCTGCTATGTAAATGTGATCTCAATATGTTATTTATTTTTATATTGATTAGAAATGTCCAAACTAAGTGAACCCATTTTAGGAAACTGTCTTGAGTTACTTTGCACTTCTTTGTTTAGATGCTTGTTGTCAGAGTTGGCAAGGTGGGTCGATCTGTAATCATATTAGAATCCTTTAGGTTTTGTCACTTTCATAAAATCTGTTTAAATGGAAAGTTGATTATATTTCTTATATTTGTTCTTGACTTTCAATGTTCCATCTTCACATCTGATCCGTTACATGATGCATATATACTTCATATCGACTCCACGGCTTCATCTTTCAGTCAATCCCATATGTTCTGATCATCACTTGATGCATACTTGAAATGCTTGAGAACAAATTGTTACAGTATCAAAGTTAGTATTCTGTATCTGGTCATTCCACGTAACATTGGTAAAGCTCTCACACTGCCTAATTGGGCAGTTCCTATAGAATTTGTTTGATATGCATTTTGACATAATAATTCTGTATGAACTGAAATTTCATTTCTCATTTTATATGATTGCTGAAAGAGAATTGTGCCTCAATTTTTACAGGTGACGCTTCTCGGACAAGTACCCGCATTTTCATCTAAAGGTTGTCCTATAAATGGTAAAGTTTCCTGTGATACTTGTTATATATCATACTCGAGTCTCAATTTCATTTTGCTGATATTTCTGTGGTTTATTTTGAACCTGCTTCGGTGCATGTGCATTCTACTATATGCAGTTGTCTTCCATTGCCCTAAAATAGAATGTCAAGTGTACTTTTTTTCCCCTCCCACACTGAAGCTATTTTATTCGGTCTTTAATTTCTCTGCTTGAGAGTTTATGTGCTCATGTTTGTTCAGCAAGAAAATGATCCTTCCTCAACTGAAATTGCACCAATGACATCGGTACCACACATCAGTTGGTAGGATACCCCAGAAATGTATTTTTAACATTTTATTTTATAGAGATCCAAGGCTTAAGCTAACCATAAGCTACCTAATGAGACCTACTAATATGTTATCTTAAGCTCACATATTATTAGCTTCATCTGTTAACTGAGTAAGCTTCTGCTGCTTTCGTTGACATGCATGCATAACTTAACTAGTAATCAATATAGCAATGGCCATATAGTTTAATAAATTAATTTTGATATTTAATACAATCTACGGCTCTATGCTATACATCTTCTAGAAAAAAAAAGCTAAATTACAGGTTAGTTGTGATGAAGTTGATCTCCTCATATCTTCAAGTGTCAAGCATCGCAAGAACCTTGAATTTGGAGAATTCAAATACCATTTACTTCTGAAATAAATTGTGCTGAAGAAGGAATCAGGGGCTTTTTAAATGCTTCAACTTTGACTGCTCACGAATACTATGTGGTGGGAATCCATAGAGAGTATATTCTGGGAGAAAGAGGCACATGATAGGATTTGGAGGATATGATTGATTCTGATTTATCCTCTATGATTTTAAAGATTTTAGTTGATAGGATTTAGTTTGTATGTCTGATAAGATTTGAGACCTGATTTAGGGATTTTATTTGATTTTGTTTGTGGTTATAAATAATGATGTAAAACCTCTTTGAAAGGCAGACTATTTTGATATGAGAATTTGAGATTTAATTGCGGCATGTGAATTGCTTTTAGTAGGTGTGTGTTGACAACTAATTTTTAACCAAATAAAATAAAAAATCCATGAATTTTGAGATTAAAAAAAATTGGAATTAGTATCTCATCATTTATAATTTCAAATCTGAGGCTTATCACTTTTGAATTCAACTGCCTAAAAATACAAAATTCGAACAACAAATCAAACTTGACCTCTGTGTTGCTAAACTGAAACCCAACTCAAATTTGACCTTCTACGTCATTAAAACTAGTACAAATTCCAAAATTAACCACCACGTCCTTAAACTGGAAGACAAATCTAATTTGACTTCCACGTCGTTAAACTGAAACTCAAATTAAAATTGACCTTCACATCACTAAATTGAAAAATACCAAATTTGACATCCACATCGCTAAACTGGAACTCAAATTAAAATGGACCTCCCCATCTCTAAACTGGAATCAAAACTAAAATTGACCTCTACGTTGCTAAACTGGAATCCCAAAATCCAAATTCCATTTCACGTCTCCAAGGCGAACCCAAATCCTAGTTCAACCGCCACATCTCTAGTCTAAGATTTTATTTAAAATTTGTACACTGGGGTTATGCCCTTGGTTAAGCCATGTATATGACATCTTTAATAAAATTATGATGCTTTCTTGATTTATGAGTTTTCATTTATTTTGATGACATTTATTGACTATTAGTCGAAGGTTCCTTTCTTTAGAAAGAGTAATTAACAATAGATTCTTGAGTCTATTGGAAGCCATGAACCCACATAAAAATAAAACCCTCTCCTGTAAGGTGAATTTGACGGGAACAATAAGCAAACAAAAGTTATCTACCTTAATTGGATGCGCTTATACGCAACTAGTTAAGATAGACAAATTTGACCCCATGGTGTGAAGTCTAGGCCGTGAAACCCATTATTTAATCTCAGCCCTCTATCTCAAAATCCATCAAATCTCAGCCCTCATATCAATTAAGCATTCCTAATTTAAAATTCTCAGCAGCCTTCATCAATCACTGTTCACGCGAACAGTAGTTTCTATTAATGTTTCATCTCCTTCAACTACTTTGAAAACACCCCCCCCTCCCGCCACACCCCCACCCCAACCGCCCCCCAAAAAGACGTCTACGACCACGAAGCCACCAACAACCACCATCGCCTCCTACTATCATGTTCAATCCGTTTTCAAGCCCTCGTCAATGTAGCACAGAAGCCTAACCAGGCCGTTGCTTGCTTTCTGAAATCATCTTGTCATCCATCAGCCCCAACAGTTCCTCGACAATAGCTTCTTTGCTTCAGACATTTCCCTGAGTCCATCGCAGGCTCTGTTTGAAGCCAACTGGTTCCCAATACTTGCAACAGATATTCGATCCCTGTGTTTTTAGATTGATCAGATTTATTTGAAGTCAAAATCACTATTTTTGAGTTCTTCTTTGATTAATTGTTGTTGTGATTGTTGCAGGTGCTTGATTTGGTGGAATATTGCATTGTTGGGTCTGGTTGATTTCACAACTTAGTGGTTTAGTTTCGTTTGTTTGCAACTGAGCCTCTCAATTTAGTTTCAATTCTAACCTGCTGATACTGTTTGGTGTGAGTTCAACACACCCTCATGTGAATTCTGAACTTGGGGTCTTGAACCTTACTGTTAATTTTTGCATCTCTTGAGAATTGTGGTGAACTGGTTATTATAGTTGCTTATTGCTATACCTGTGGACCTTGTTTGATTTATTATTGCATTGTGTTAGGATTGCATCCATTCTTAAGATCTTGACTGTTAGACTTTTGTATTCATGGTTAAATCCATACACTCAATTGTTTGCTAGGTTATCATCTGTGTGATTGTTTGACTCCATTGACAATAGTGTTTCCCCTCGTCCTGTCCTGCGTCTCTATGCTTTCGAAAATTCTTCCTTTTGTTCAACTCTGTGGTGATTGAATCATAACCTTCGTTGTCCAACTTCAGGAAAAAAAGGAAATTAGAAAAGCAATATCATATATACGCGTACATACACAGCGTGGAGGTCTAGGAGATGGGGGACATATCTGAGTTTTGTTGAAAAGAATGGGTTATTTTTCAATGGAGGTTCAAGGATAGACGATATTGTATGTAAGTTAGTCTTGATTTTATATCCAAAGCTGGATGGAATCTTAAAGATATAATTTAAAATCCCGAAGTTGATGCGGTTCAGTTTTCAAGTTCATTTTGTTAATAAGCAATTACCCATTCTTGAAGGGACGGAATCGAATTTCCATCATTTCTTTCAGTTAAGGAATTTAATTGGCAATACATGAACACCATAGGCACCTGAATGTGTCCACTTTATTGGATATGAAATTTTAGAATTTTCATCCTTACTGATAATTACATCGTGTGCCACAGCAATAAATATCCAAATTAGATTTCTCCATCAGTTGATGTTTGCAAGGGACATCTGACAATTATTATTCTTATACATTTGTCATGTTAGCATGTCATATACAATCAGTCCTCAGACGTCTTTTCTAACTGCTTAATCCTTGTTTTATGATTCATTTCTAATTGTGAGTTCATATATCTACCGGGCAATGGGGTGGGAGGGGGGATGCACCAAATATATTGTTGTTCTTCCGACAATAGAAAAGTTCCTTCGCCGTAGCAGTAACTGAAACAACAAAATGTACTGAAAATGGTTTCCCTAAAGTGAATATAAGATGGGATGTACTGAATGAACTATTATCTTTGTAATAATGTAAAGGGGAATAACTGAATAATAGTCCATAATGAAATAAGGAAAGTGAAAAAAAGGAATTAAAACTTACTGTATAAACTAGAGGAGCACCACTAACTGACAAAATGACAAGTGCATCCAGGTGGTAAATACCATACTGAAACAGAAGCAAAACTTCAATCTTTCCTTACCTCTTGTTCATGTCCTCATCTTTCAAGCTTCTCAAAATTTCCTTTACTCTTCTTCCACGACTTCTCTCCTTGTTTTCGTTCTCATCTTTCTTGCTTTGTAAACATGAAAATGGATCCGAGTGAAGCTGGAATTTTGTTCAAAACAAGAGGCTGCAATAATCAAATTTGATGGATCGGCACGACCGATCCAGAGAAAAGGCTGGTTTCTCAAGTCCAATGAGATTATAGAAGAAAGGAATCTAGGAATTCCTTTCTTCCCTGTGTTGCAGAGTCCTTGCTCTAATTGGGTTTCGAAGCTTGAGTCCAAGGTCAGTTTTAAAGGGAGGTCAAATCCTACATCAGATTGGAAACTATGGGTTGAAAAGTTGATTCCACTCTATAAGGATGTATTGAAACAAATCAAGATTTTTGATGCTATTTAGGTTTCAACCTGTAAGTTTAGAAAAGATTTGATATACATTTGGGAGCTACTACCATACTGAAATGAGGAAACTAGCACATTTGTTTTTCCTTTTGGAGAAGCTTCAATTATGCTTGAAGATATGATGGTTTTTAGACCTCTCTCTCCAATAGGATTCTGTATTACATAAGTAGGACTCAATGAAGAGCTTCACAAGTTTAAGATTAGACTCCTTACTCAACATCTAGTTTTTAACAAAAATATGGCTAAGAAGCGCATTTTTCTTTGTGCATAACAAACTTTATGAACTGTGATGATGTTTCACTATAGCATATTGCTTTTTTGTGACTTTATCTTTATGGTTATCAAAGAACATCTTTCCTAAGGCTGGTGACACAGTACGGAGGGGATGGCTTAAGGCGTATGCTTTGCCCTAAGACCAGCAGTTTTTCTTGTCTTTACCACGACATGCACTTTTTGAAGGAACTCATGATTAGGAATGACAAGGATGATATTTTACCTAATTTTTCACACTTTTATATAGTCAAGGTTTTAAATATCGGCCGACATGTCCGACATGTCGGCCGACATATCGGTTTGAGGGTTTGACCGACACGACATGGACGTTTTTAACTCGTATATCGGTTTTTAGGGCAAAATTGAAAATATCAGGGTCATATCGGGCATATCGGCCTATTTTTTAGCTTTGAAAAATCGACCGATATGGTACTTTTTTTAAGATCTGTTTTTTATTATCGGGTTTGGGTTTAGTGATAAATACCCAAACCCGTTTGACTCGTTCTCATGTTTAAGGGTTCCTTATGAACCCGATAGAAAAAATTTATGAACCCAAATCCATATATTATTTACTTTTTTATATGTTCAGTCTATAGAATTTATAAAGTATGCTTATATTGAATTTATGAATGCTTAGATTACATTTAGGACATGATATTATACATATGTGCACTACCCGATATGGCAATCCGATATTTAGTCAATGTCCCCCGATATATCCCCGATTTCCGCTATCCGATATGGATTTCAGCCATCCGACATGAACCCGACATCCGATATTTAAAACCTTGTATATAATGCAAATGTGGGTATGAGAGCATTTTATTTATTTTAGCTGCGATGTTTTTCTTAAATTCATCGAGCACAACAAACCATTTGCAGCTCGGTGGTTTGAAGTAGCCATTGATAGAACTTTACGTTCAAGATTAATATGCCAATCCTCTTGCAATTTTCATTGGCGCCCCGATGCAAAAAAGTTAGGTAACTGGATATAACCATCTTTTTACGGGGAGAATGGTTAGTGAATTTGTGGCGACGTGAATGAAGGAATCACTTATTTTGCCTAGTGTTTAAGATCTTGTGAAGTTATTGGGGCAGATAGCATTCCACTCTATCACCCCCAAAGAGTTTCCAGACATTGTGGATATGATCAAGATCTATTCGGATGTGCCCAGGTTGGTGCTAAGGTTTCAGATTAGGCAAGTGCTTGGGTTTGTTACACAAATTATGAGTTCAACTATATGCTCTATGTCCCTCCTTGAGGATATCAATCTGATGTCACTTATCAATACTATTATTGGTTGAAAGAGAATATTTCGTCTTTTATTTTTTTTAAGATTGATGTTGGAATGCAGGAAAAAAAAAGCAGATGAGAAGAGTGTCAGTAGAGTCTGGGAGGCAGGTCCGCTGGAATTGGATTTGAATTCATTATAACTGATAGGAGTTTCTTATAGGTGTTCTGTTGGTTATGTGTCAGTTATATTGGAACGGACCTCTTCTATTGTCTTTGATTGTGCATGTTTTTATTTCTAGTTTGTAGGAACTCTTGTTGACTTGATTGTACCATTCATTCTTTTGCACTTTGCCCTTTTATTTCAGCTCAATTGATCTTTTGTTGAATGTATTTTTATATAGTACACCAAGTGAATTTCCCCCTCACATGCCGAAACACACTCATATGAGAAGAGAGCATGTTGAGAATTTCCTAAAGTTTCTTTTCTAACTACAGGAACCTTATAAATGAACCAGTGTAAATGCCATATTAAATGTCATGGTTGTTTATTGATGTTTTAAAGTAATCTTGAGCTTGCAACCTCTGTTATAAATAGCAGTAAATAGCACAACAATAGCGGCGCTAATTGCGTTAGCGGTCTCTTCTTGCTACGCTATCACCCAATAGCGGTGACATATTGCAGAATATGCGTTTTTCGCTTGCAAATCGCTAATAGAACGTCATAGCAGTGAATATCGGGTAAATTGCGGGCAACATCCGCTTTTTGACCGCTATTTAAAAGCGAGTTGAGGCTTATTTTTTTAAAATTAAACACGATCTGCAAGCACTACATCCACCGCCTCCCGTGATTTCCGACGTATTTCCGCCATCTCCCACAGCCTCCGGCATCTCCCTTAGCACTTCTTCTCACAGTCCTCTCACCGCTCAGCTCATCTTCGCAAAGACAACAACTCTTTAACTTCTCCTTTAGTAGTCTTTGGTATATTATGTAACGGTTACATGTCTATTTCATATTTATAATCTCTTTAAATCATCAAATATACATTTTTTAGATTTTTTAGATTTTTCCTTACTTTTTATTATTTTTTTGAATATTTATACATATCTAAATTAGACCGCTATTTGACTTTGTGTTTTTACCGCTATTTTGCCGCAATAGCCCCAACTCGCCTCACCGCTACGTGATGCTATCCGCTATCAATAAGCTTGCTTACAAGGCAACATTAGGCTGAAAATTTACATTAATAACCAAAAGCCAGTAGCCTTATGACCATAGCACAACAAAATATTCTTCTTGTACTGCATAAACATGCAGCTGCATGTAGAATGTGCGTATAATATGTATGTGTATTTTTTTTAATCTTTCTTCCAAGGATGTGTTGCCTGGACGTCCATTATTCTCATTATAATTATGGAAAGTCTAGAGACTACCAGTTATGTATGGGCTACCTGGGTTGTTCTCATCCGATTTTTGGATATTTTGACTGCCTACTTCTGTATATGTATTTAAAGTTGAAAATTAAGCTATTTTTTTGACTAAACCTTTATTATATTCATCTTACAAGATCATTAAATTACACACACACACACACACAACTTGTGTTTGGAACATCAACTCAACTGTTATTTCGTATGAAGCATCAACTTAACCATGCGATCTGTTTTATTTTGTGCAGGAACAAAAGGTTCCAACTTCACCAAGACCAGGAAATATATAATCCTCCCTCCCTCCCTCCCTCTTTCCCATGCACATATACGTCCACAGGTCTACATGTAAATGCACACATATAAAACGTACACTTATTAGAATTGTTTATGTTTACATGTTTGTATATATCTATAACAAGATTAAGTTGGTAGGATATCAGATCTTATTTCCCTAATTTATTGACAAGGATTCATTTTCATGATTACAAAACTACTTGTATAACTGCTTTGTTTTAAAGATAAAGGTGTCAGAATATAGCCAGTCAGAAATTTATTTGCCAATATAAATGCATTAGTTATTTAGTACATTTGATATTTTCTTATTTACTCTACCAAGGAGTTAAGATTTTATTACCATTTTTAAGAAACATTACAGACATGAAATGAGGACAAGGAAATTCTTTCATATGTACTCTGTGATGTTTCATGCGACCAGTTTTCTTCATGCAACTTCCCTCTCAGGGTGAGCTCGTGCTATCACTTGTTTATGTTTTTCCTAGGGTGTTTTTCTTCGTTTCAATGAACATAAGTGAACAATCAGTCTAATAGGCTTAGTAGTTTTGTAGGAAATAGGTCCACTTTTACAGGTATATAGGGAAACCGCAAAGTTAAATTTTTCGAAAAAGACATGTTGCAGTAACTTTTATAGCTTTAAATATGGTATGCATTCTCTAGTCATTTATCCCCATAACGTTGAACGTGATGTACACATGAATGTTTACATTACATAGAAAAGAAAAGAAAAAGTTAAAAATCAAATACAAAATCAGAATGTCTGAATGGATCTTAACCCATATTAGTATGTTGAAGTTCTTAAATGATCATAAACAGAAAAAAAGACTTGAGTCTATCAGCAAAAAGATTTTTTTTTTCTCGATACTAAACTCTGCTAGGTAACCCACTTTGGGATGCAACTACTAGAACTGATAAGTTGGAAGTTTCCTTTCAGAACTTCTCATAAATGAAGCACAGTGAAACCTGTACACTATACTGCAATAGGAAAGTCTTTCCACAAAGTTCAAATTCACTTTATTTATGTAAGTGAACAAAAGATGACTTCTCAAAGTTGTGAAAAACACAACTAATTCAGACAATACAATAAATGGAAATGCATAATGCACATGAACCCTTGCTTTATTTCTTTAGTATTTGTGCTAATAGAAGGCAGCAGTCCTTGCATCATCATAAAGGCAACTCTTAAATCTGCTCAAAAATCAAATTAAGAACCTCTAATGTAGTTCATTTATAAATATCATCTTCCATGCTATAGTTAAGTAGGTGAGATATCATTATGCTCTACAAACATCTTGGAGTTTTCATCTCTTTGTTATTATAACGTGCTTGAACCTAATATATGCTCCCTAACACTAATTTTTAGGAGTAAATATTGTGTTTTAAACATTCTAAAGTTTATTCTTTTCAATAACTTTCAGTCAATAAAACTAAGTGAAATCATCTTATCCTGCCATGTAAACTTGGAAAGCAAATCAGTAGTTCATGTCAATTGTGTATTGAAATGATGAAAGCTGTTGTCAATTGTGTAAACTCTAGAGGCTTGCATGTGCATGCGTGTATATAATAATAGAATAAATCATGATTTTATATTTTCTTGGAATTACTTCTCATATATTTTATTAGTCTATGACTTCTTGTAGGAACTTAGCTTTAGCTTGCGGAGTGCGGTCATCTTGAGAATAGCTTAATGCATACAGTGAACATATCTTTAATTTTGAATCCTTTTTACTACTATCTAACTGGAAGTAACTTCAAAAGCTAACATGTAGTGGCTACGAGAAAATATTAAACAAGTTTGAAATTTGGCTCCATGAAGTGTCCTAAACTAGCCAAAATTTAAAATATATCATAAAGGTGTGGATGCATGTGAGAAATTAGGATAAATGTGTCCACTACTGTATATATGAGTATGACAGCTGGGATACTTCTGAAGCATAACTTCCTCAATGGACTGCTTGAATCGTGTCTAAGTTCACATTGTTCAAACATGCATTGTGTTGTATTTTGTTTTAACAAACTGACACGCCGTACACACCCACCTGCCCACCCACTTCCACCCACATGCGCATGCCCAGACACACATGGACATGTAAGTATGTATAGATACATACAGATGTGTGTGCCTATATGTATGTACGTACGTACGTACGTACGTATGTATGTAGTGTATGTATGCAGTGTTTTAAATGTCAGCTGACATATCAAACATGTCGGCCGACATGCCGAATTTAGGGGCCAACCGACACGATATAGAGCTTTTCAATGCGTATTGCATTTTCAGGGTTCATGTCGGATATATTGGGGGGCATGTCGGGTGATATGTCGGTTATGTCGGCCGATTTTTCAGTCTAAAAAATTGGCTGATTTTTTAATCTTTTTTATTATGTTTATCTAATCAGGTTTGAGTTTAAATTCTTGATTATGTCTTAATATTACTTTCAAAGACAAAAACCGATAAGTTAAGGGAAATGAAAAAAAGACCGAAGTAATATCCGTCGCTCATCTTCTCTCTCTCATTCGACACCTCATCGGTCTCTTCTCCGATCTATTCCTTTGACATCAATATCAGGTGATCTTCTCTTTTCTTTACTGCTAATATCGGAGTCCTCTTTTCTCACATCTTTCCTTCAACATCAACCATAAATATCATAAGTTATTTATTTTTTTATATGTTTAGACACTAGAAAATTTTAAGTCTATTTAGATTTTATTATGATATTTATATTACACATATGCACATCATCCGATATGGCAATCCGATATTTTTTTCATGTCTCCCGACATATCCTCGATTTTCGCTATCCAACATGAATTTTCGTGTGACACCCTCACTTTAGTCCAACATAGACTAGTGTGAAGAAATATTAGTGATTTAAATAGAGAAAAGTCCAAGGCCCAAGAACAACTAGTGCTAGCATTTTAGCGGTGGATTTAGCCAACCCATGAGTTGTTCTCTGTGGACACACAGTTTACACGCGCCAACGGGCCCGTGGGTCTGAGGCGTGACAAACGATATCAAAGCAGTTGTCAGTCAAAAATATGGAGCTAAGTGCTATACGGGGCTAAGTGCTATACCACGTGATGCGGTGTGAGTCAACTCTAGAACCCGTAGGAACCACCTTTAGAATCCATATCGCCTGGCAAGTGACACTGGGATGTGTCAATTGTCATGTTGTGGTTACGAGGACGTCGTCTTTGTAAGGTGGGGTGATTGTGACACCCTCACTTTAGTCCCACATGGACTAGTGTGAAAAAATGTTAGTGGTTTAAATAGAGGAAATCTCTCGACCCAAGAACAACTAGTGTTAGTATTTTAGCGGTGGATTTAGCCAATCCATGAGTTGCTCTCTATGGACCCACGGCTTGCATGCGTCAACGGGCCCGTGGGCCTAGGGCGTGACAGTCTGACATGAACCCGACATTTAAAACCTTGTATGTATGTAGTAGTAGTGGTGGTGGTGGTGGTAGTAGTAGTAATAATAATAATATTGATGATGATGATTATGATGATGATGATAATGTCTTAAATATGTGTTTGGTCAGTTTTAAAGCATTATGCACTATGAATCACTTGAGAAGGTAGTATACCCTTGTGTTGTATGGGTTATATTTTCCGTTGACATGTATAAAGTCTTTTCAGTTAGAGCATGACGCAAAAGTTTTATAAATGCCAAATTGCCAGTTAGTACTATATTTTTTCCCCATCTGAGGAAATTCTAGTTTAATATAAAAAGGGGGAATTTATTAATGCATACTAGTGAAATTGTGAAATATGAGCTTTCTTCTTAGCAATTGCTTGCCCCAATGTGCTTATGGGCTACCCTTATAATTCTGGTACCAATGATTTTGTTTTGTTTTTTAAGAGGCTAATGCTGATTAAATATGCAGAATTGCAGGTACAAACTGCTCTAGGTCCCAGAGAACCTGTGGTGCAGTTCAAGAAATTATACTTTTAGCATAGCTGATGCTACCTGGCTTTGTTTGAAGCTGTTCAAGAAATTAAAATTTTAGCATATAAATTTGTTCCCTTTCCCTGAAAACGCCCGCTCCGGTGAGCTATGCTAGCTGCCTCCATCGCCGAAATACCGCTTCTTTATATGACAACAAAAAGTTAAAGGTAAACTCCCACCTGATATCCTTGATAGCACATTTAACTTTTAAGAATTCTAGTTATGTTCTCTTCTCCTTTCATAATCTGAATATGAACTGTGAGTGAAATTGAGGAGATAATGAAATAAGAGATCTCTAGTTTGTTTGCTCAATCTATGTATTTTGTACTAGTTTTTGGTGCTTGATGACTTATGAGAAATTTGATTTGAAGCATTGTTTCTATTTTAGAAAAACTATGACGTGTCTTTGTTCTTCTTCTTGCACCTGGTATTAAGATAAGCATATGTAGTTTTCTAATTTGGGAAAGGTTTTTTTATTATCTACAATGTGATGGAATTACTTGTAATTCTTAATTTTTTTTTTGTTTTTGCTTTTGTTTTTGTTTTTTGGGATTTTTGTTTATTTACAATGAGTATTAACTGATTGAAATTGAGGTGATAAATAATAATAGATCTTTAGCTCGATAGAAGTGCTCAGTGTATTTTGTATTAATTGTTGATGTCTGAGAATAAATCATAGTTGGGTGCCTGATAATAGAATAAAAAGAAAATGGGTCTGAAGCATTGTGTCTATTTTAGGAAGATCATGATGATCTGTGCTTTTCTTCTTCCTATCGTTTCCATTTAGTTACTTTAAGATTTTCTGTACCCAAGTATAATTATAAAGCAATGCTTCTGAATATTTAGATTAGAGTATGAGGTTGCTTAATTTGTAAAATGCTTTTTAATGTACGATGTAAGTGAATTTATTCGTAATTCTTGCAACTTATTGTAGAAATTTTGTTTATTCATGACAACACTCATGGAAGTTCCACATATTTGCGATATTATATGTTGTTTGTACCGTCAATAGACGAGATGAGTTTTGTTCTTCATCCATAATAATAGTTATCTCCACATCAACTAATTAAGTTCTTCACTAGTATCTATCAATGGCCTAGGCCTATTGCTGACAATGGACATGATTAATGAGACAATCTACCAGTAAGCCCCCCCCCCCCCTCTCTTTTATTATTTGCGAGTTTATTTCCCTATAACCCTCTCCTTTCTTTGGTGTGTCTTCTTTGCCTTGAATTTAGACCTTGATGTTGAGTGAGGAGTTGTATCTTCAACTTCTAAAGCTTGTCACTGAGTCCTATTTATTTAGCACAGAATCCTATTGGTGAGCAACCACCAGCATATCTTCCAGAGTAACTGAAGCTTCTCCAAAAGGGAAAACAAATGTGTTAGCTTCGTCACTCCAGCATACTAATATCTCCCAAATTAATACCAAATCTTTTAGCTATTGGATGCTACGGAGCTGACTTCTTTTTTGTATTAAAGGGGGAAGAGCTACATATAATGAACCCAGCCACCAAAAACCAGTAAAGAGCAGATTTCATATGCACTTCCCTAACTTAGGTAAGGGTTTTAGGTTAAGAGTCTTATGTTAAGGGTTCCTTAACTGCATCCCACTTTATAGTCAGACTTAGTCTGCATTGAATTTTGGAGCCAGTGACTATTCATTAATTTTTAATTAATGCGAAGGTTCGAGAGGTACTCTCAATTAAACTGTTGTTTGGCATTCAGTGAATTCAGGCATAGAAATTTGGAGCTAATGACTATTCATTAACTTTCAATTAATGAGAAGGTTCGAGAGATAGGGAGGGAGGGACTCCGACTCTCACTTATACTCTTGTTTGAATTGGACCAATAACGTCTATGGTTACATTCACAAGTCTTATAAATTCTCTTAATTCACCTTTTAGGAAGTTTTGAGATTGTTGTTGGAAATGCTGGAAAAAAAGAAGAAGAGAAAAATATCAGTGGAGTCTGGGAAGCAGGAACCTCCGCTGCAACTGGATGTGAATAATGCACCCTTGAGTTTTGGGGTCATAGGGTCATTTGAACCTAGAGGAAGATGTAACATAAGGATTATAAAGGGTATGGCAAGAGCAAGAGGAGCTTTTCGAGGTGCTCTTTTAGCTAAAAACCAACCTTGCTTTCATGCAAATAAAGAAGCTAGTCTAGCTGCAGCCGAAGGAGAGGACAAACAGGGCAGGGCTCATGAATTGGAAAATACTGAACATGAAGCCCTTAATTAGGTGAGAATTCTCCTCGTCTGTTTTTGATGTCTTGCTTTTGAAAACTTCCATGATTATCTTAGCATGCATGATATCGTTTTTGATTTGATATGTTTCCTATAGTAGTTGGTACTTGGTAGCCCTCATTGCCCTTAGTATGATCTCTAATTACTTATATAGTCTTTTCTCTTTTGTTTGACCTCATTTATAACTGAAAGGAGTTTTTTTATGAATGTTTCTTCGAGTTCTTTATACTTTATATTACACATTAGTTATATGGGAACTTATTCTATTATCTTTGATTTTGTGTGTTTTATATTTCTGTGTGTATGAATTCTCACTGGCTTGATTGTATCATTTATGCTTTTGTGCTTTGCTTTTTTTATTTCAACTCATCTGAATCTCTTATTGGACTTACTTCTGATATTAGTATGCCCCTATGAAGTGTACACTCACATAAAGAAACATACTCACATTACAAGAAAGAGTACAGTGGAAAAAGAAAGTTTCTAGAAGTTTCTTTTTCTGACTATAGGAAGCTACAAGATGAACCAATATAAGTGTAAATATATTGGTTACTCTCCGGTCTTTAAATATTTAAGTGCCTACTATGGGAATATGCTTCTGTATAGGTATTAGAAATTACGCAACCTATATATATTCACTTCATAAGTTCATACATAAACACGAGCGCACATATGCAGCACATATATAGTTGTTGTTCGAAACATCAAGCTAATTTTTAGTTTGTCTGAAACATCAACTTAATTGTGTGGCCTTTTTTATTTTGAGTGATCAACAAAAAGTTCCAATTTCATCTCTGCTATTCGCCGTTTCTTTTCCTTCCCACTCTTTAAACTAACTTCTAAATGACCTTATACATAAAATACAAGCTACTTTTTATTATGCAAGAAAATCAAGAAAATATTCATGCTTCCATGAATAATGGGGGGAAAAACAACCGACACCGAACATGTGAGAAACATGTGAGAACTTATATAGCTCTTCGTCATTCTTGAGAATAGCATAATGTTCCAGCTAAATTTCAACTCCTATTAACTAACTTATACTTTCTAGGATAAAATAACTAACTTATCCTTAAAGTATTGGTGTACTCTCAAGTTCCTCTTAAAGTATCAATTTACCTATTTGCCCCTTCAACTATATAAGTTTAATGTAGTCATTTTGTAAGCCCACAGTCAAGATATGACAGTGTTTCTTGCATTTCTTCTGCGTTTTTATTCGTCTATCTCCTCTTTTTCCGAAGCCAAAAAATTATTAACTATTAACTGCTTTCCCGAACACATTTTACCCTTTAACCCTTTTTAGGAATTAAAAAATTATTTTTGAACTTGCAGAAAATACGAGGAAAAAAAAACTATCAAGTCATTAACCTGTAGGTTCATAAAACATCACATTGAGCACATACAGAGTTTAAGGGGGAATATGTAAATTTATACTTTAGGGGGAAACTTGAGAGTTCACTAATACTTTAAAAGGTATTTGATCATTTCTTACTAATTTCTTCCAAGTAAATGAAAGTAACTACAAAATCTCAGCATGCAATGCTTGTGGAATATTTATGAAGAAGCATCAAATTTGTTTCCATGAAGTGTTGAAACTACTCGAATTTAAAAAATGCCATAAAGTTGTGGATGTCTGAGAACTTCAAGGTGTTTCTAAAAAATATTGGTGTTTGATACCGACATAGTTTCAGGAATAAATGGGTCCACACTGCTGTGTACATTAGGATGACCACTAGGGTAGTTCTGATGCATAACTTCCCCACAGGACTGTTTTGATTGTGACTAAGGTAACATGATTCAAACACATAATGTACTGAAGTTCATTCTATGAAAATAAAATCTTGTAAATGTGAAGATTAGATTTAGTCAGTTTTAAATAGCATTTATTAACTCTTGTGTGTATGAATTATAGTTTTTAGGTGACATTATATACTTTTCTGTTGGGGGCATTATTTTAAAAGAATTTCCTTAATTTCATTCAATTATATACTTAGAAGTTGTATATAATTTGTTTTGGGCATTACGTTATTTGGAAGAAATATGATGTGAAATATATCTCTTGATGTATCTATATGTTTACGAAAGATAGGGCCAACTTGCCAGCTAGGTTACTCTATTATTTCCATTTGAGGAAATGCTAGTTTAATACAAAACGGGGAATTTCTTAATGCATATGTACTATCCTTGTATGAGCTTTTCTTCTTCCCAATTGCTTGGCCTAATATGCTTATGATTTGGATGGTTTTGTTGTCTTATTTTAGAGGTTAATTCCTTAATTAAATTTGCAGCAACTTGCTGTAATCGCTCCCAAAGAACCTGTGATGCTGTTGAAGAAATTAATCTTTTAGCATAGAGGAGTATTCCTCAGAGCAGAGACAACCTAGCAGAGTTTCGAAAAGTGGAACCTTCAAACTTTTTCTGGAGAGGCTTGTAGTGTCTTTTATTTTGATATTATAAGACTGCAACTTTTATTAGATGTATTAGGACATAATTATGTTACTTTTCCTGTTTGTTAATGACATTTAGCAAAGGTGTTTTCCTTCTCTTGTTGTAGTGGTGTTAATATTTCGGTGCCTAATTATATTTGTTGTTAAGTTTTTTCGTCTAGTAATCGATTTACAATGATAAAAGTTTTGGTAACTATGAGTTTTGTATTGTCAGATGGTAGCTTCCTAACGTAATCATGTATTAACTTGTTTATATCTACATAGATAATTTGTTGCTTGTGAGGTATAAAAATTTTCTGGCGTCGTGGTACATAAATTGCTCAAGGGCGTATTGCTTGTGTTTGCAATTACATATGAAGATTAAGTTCTAAAGAATTAGATGACAGCCATAAAGTGGATGAGAGTTTGTATGTAATCGTCCTTGGTTTATCATGTTTAATTGCTGTGTAGAGTTTTTAGAAAGGCTAGCTGTAGCTACACTATAATATGAGGATGTGATCACTTGTGTTTTCATAATTTTTTTGTTGACGGTAGAACGCTCTTTTTCCATTAGATTGAGATTTTTGTGTGGTAGTCTCGGGATGATAAATTGTCTATTGTTGTGAGTTTAGTTGAAATAAGTAAAGTTAGCATCTAAATTTATGGTAGAAAATTAGTTATGAGTGTCAGGTAAGAATCTATTAAAGGAATGTAAATATTTATACGAAGGGTTAAGTGGCTGTATATAGCTGATAGGTAGATTGTAGCGAAAATTCCTTCTAACCCCCAAAATTAAATAATTTATTGGCTTACCTCCCAAGACTTGTCCAGAATCTCATTACTCCCGAAATCAACCTTTATGTTTGTAGAAGCTCCTAAGTATAATGCCAGCCCATACACACTAAAAAAAAAGACCCCAAAATTACCCTTGACTATACATGTGACCACTCCTTTTTTTTGGAATTTTTGTGTCCCACTCTCTCTCATCCCTTCTCTTTCCCCTCTCCTTCCCTACTTCTATTAAACCCAACGTCATTAATTTTTCTCTCCCTTTTGAAAAAATTCTCTATATTTGTTTTTCAATTTTTTCTATGGTGGCTAACAAAAATTTCGTATCAAGAGGTCGGTTGTCATTCTCTTCCATGTTTGTGGTGTTAGAGCTATCATTGTTAGGTTTAGGACCTGGACGTAAGGATCATTGTGAGCGTTGGTGGAGGGTATATACAGAGAGAGGAAGATAAGAGGATTGTTGTCGAGTTGCAAATTGGTTGAATTTTGAAGAGCTACCCTCAACTATTGGAGAATTTGTAAAATAATACTACAAATATTTACAAAAAAATCTGTCATGTTTTATTTTATTTTTGTTTGTAGGTACAATTGCGGGATTTACGCGTATTTATTCATAAAAGCAATACTAGAAGGGAATGATGTTTTGTAGCTTACTCCAGATTATTATATGGCATGGTTGTTAAACTTATGCATTTGTTGTTAAGTTTTTCGTTAATTGTTAAGCTTATGCGTTTGTTGTTAAGTTTTTTTCATCAGTTGTTAAGTTTACATATTAGTTGTTAAGCTTATGTGCTAGTTGCTAAGCTTATGCGCTAGTTGTTAACTTTTTTTTGTCAGTTGTTAAGCTTATGTATTGACTGTTAAGCTAATGCGTTGGTTAAGCTCTTTCGTTAGTTGTTAAGCTTATGCGTTATTTGTTAATTTTTGTTAGTTACTAAACTTATGCATTAGTTGTTAAGCTTATGCATCTATTGTTAAGATTTTTCATCAGTTGTTAAGATTATGCATTGGCTGTTAAGCTTATGCGTTGGTTAACTTTTTCATTGGTTATTAAGGTTATGCGTTGATTGTTAAGGTTTTTCGTCAATTGTTAAGCTTATGCATTAGTTGTTAAGATTTTTCATCAGTTGTTAAGCTTATGCATTAGTTATTAAGATTTTTCATCGGTTGTTAAGCTTATGCATTGGTTGTTTAGCTTATGTATTTATTGTTAAGTTTTTTCATGATTAACATTTGATGAATATTATTTAGCTATTTCCTCTATTTCTCCTCTTTCTATTACTAGACGAAAAAACTTAACAATAAATATATAAGCTTAACAACCAATGCATAAGCTTAACAACTGACAAAAAAGCTTAACAGCCAATGCATAAGCTTAACAACTAAGAAAAAAAGCTTAACAACGCATAAGCTTAACAACTAACGGAAAAACTTACCAACCAATGCATAAGTTTAACAAATGATGAAAAAACTAAACAACCGACATATTAAGTTTAACAACTAAGGAAAATGTTTAACAACAAATGCCTAAGCTTATCAACTAATAATTAATAATGAAGAGAGAGAGAGAGAGAGAGAGAGAGAGACGTAGAGGAGAGAGAGAGAGAGAGAGACGGAGAGGCTTGATTCCTTGGGCAAGAGGATACGTAGGCAGTCTTTCAGATGCAGCCGGTTTGGATTAGTTAATTTGTTGATGGGGGTGAGATTGTTTTGGACTCTCGTTTGGGTTTGGGTTCTCGACTTGTTGTGGATTGAGTTCGTACTGGACACAACAAGTGGGACATTTGGTTGCTTTGGTGTCAGCTCAGTTTTGAGAAAACTTCACCGAGGTGGAGAATTGTGAACGCAAGTGGTGGGCCACGATCAAGAAAAGCACCCACGTGAACGCATGAGTTGAGAACGCGGTTTCGTTGTGGGGGTCCACCTAGCCACGAACGAATTGTTTCCGCGTGAACACGTGAACGAGTCGGATGCGGCCCATGAACTGTAGTATAAATACCCATGCTAGGGTATTTTTCGGATGTGCAGGAGCAGGAGGTAGCCGCAATTGGTGAGCAAGAAGTTTTGTTTAATTGGCGGCTGCGGGGTGCAAGAACAGAGCGCGTGCAAGGATCTTTGGCGGCTGAGTATTTTCTTGTGCGAAGGAGATTTTGTGTAGTCCCTTTTAGGGTTTTGTGCATCCCTTTGAGAGACTCTAATAGTAGATCTCCCCCCTCCTTGCCCCGTGGACGTAGGCAATTTGCCGAACCACGTAAAAATTGGTTGTACTGCTTTTGTGTGATTTGTAATAGCTTTTAGGGTCCCTCGACGCGCAGTCCTAGAGCTGACGAGAGGAAGAGCAAATATCCCACTTTGATGGGATATTAGGCTTCAGATTCTTGTTCCCTTTGAGAAACAAGAATTCTTATTGCGACCTGACTCTCTTGTTGTGCTGTCGAAGTGCTGCCGAAATTTCCGCTGCGCGCAACAGTTTCACGTGAAAACAAGAAGGAAAAAGAAAAAAAAATGTATATATAGGGGGTTAGGATATAAACGAAAATTTTAAATATAATTAATAATTAATTAAGTAGTAAATTAAATAATTATGGAAAATTTATTTACAAAATAATACATACTAGTAACATTAACACAATGGATTATACAAAATAATACGTAATAGTAATAACAATACAACGGATTATACAAAATAATACGTAATAGTAATAATAATACAACAGATTAATTCAAAAGTTTTTACTGTACTAAGTTAATTTACAAATATCAAAATCATTTAAAAAATATAAAATTAGTTTTTTAAATCATAGAAAATTCTAAAAAATCGAGAAAATATAAATACTCTTTTAAAATGATAATTGAATATTTTAAAATACCAAAAAAATTATTTTAACTAGTATCAAAAATTCACAGTTATTACAGAAGTATTTCATGCCGTCTCGAGTGACGAAGCTCTTAAAGTCATAAGTATCTGAGTGAATAAGATCCCATAGGTTGGTGCTCCTTGTGACACTTGGAAAGGATTTCCTTGTCAGTTTTGCTTGCGCGCAGACTTCACACTTCTCAGGTTTGTTACCCTCATATTTTGGAAGTAATCCTAACTTCTCCATGCTAGATAGTTTTCTATAATTTACATGTCCCAATCTATAATGTCATAACACAGAGGAGTAAGCAGAAGATGACATTTCATTTATAATTGAGTTAGATACAATAATACTGATTTTATACATGCTATTAGTACGATATGCATTTCCAAAATATATTTTTTTAAAAGATAACACAACATTTCCTCCTTGAAAATCCAGCCTCATACCTACGTTACATAGCAGGCTTCTAGAGACTAAGTTTTTGGCAATTGAGGGAATATGTTTCACATCATTCAATGTGAGAGTCTTCCCTGAAGAGAGTCAGCACCACAGTCCTAGTTTCAAGAGCATGCACTACAAAATGATCAGCCATTGATACGTTCTCTTTTGCAACAATATAAGAAGAGAACAAATCTCTGTTAGAGTGGACATGGCAGGTAGCACCTGTGTCTAACCACCAACCAGAGATGTTATTGGAAGTTATCACCTGAAAGAGCATAACCACACAATTATCAACTTAATTAACATTGTGTGTTGTTCCCTTCTTTGGTGCTTTGCAGTCCTTAGCAAAATATCATTGCTTCCCATAGTTGAAGCATTTGCCGCTCTTCTTGAACTCTTTCTTCTGAACATTTAGATTCTTCGGGTTTTGATTCTTCTTTTTGTTAAATGACTTCTTCTTCTTCTTGGAAGAAGAACTAGTACCCTTCTTAGAGTTAACAACTACCATGTTAGCAGACGCCTTTTGCTTAGCAATAAGCTCATTCTTCGTGCTAGTCCAAATCTCATCCTCGATGCGAATGAACCTCTTCAAATCAGATACAATCACCTGTCTTTTTCTTCTCCGAATATCAGTGGAGAATGACATTCAAGATGAAGGAAGCTTGTTGATAATTGCACTAAAAATGAAGGTTATACAAAAATTAATCTTTTTATCCTTTAACTTCATAACAAGTTTTTCAAGCTCTTTGACTTGAGACGAAACCTCAGTGTCATCTTTAACTTTAAAGTCCAGAATCTTGTCAATGAGGTGAGACTTGGACAGCTTCTCCTCATCCTTGTACTGGTCCTCCAAAGCATTCCAGATTTCCTTTGTAGAGGGCTTATTGGTGTAAACATCTATTAAATGATTGACCAGACAGTTAAGGAGATAACTCATGAAGAAGTGATCATCTCTACCCCAAGAGGCTTCAGACTCAGAATCTTCTTCAGAGTCGGGTTTCTCCTCAGATACCACATAGTAGATTTTCAGGAGTTGCATCCCGAAAATTACTTTTTGACGCCATGCGTTAAAGTTGGATCCGTCAAAGTTTTCTAACTTAAGAAAGTCCACTCCAAGTGTCCTCGCATGATTCAATGTAGATCAGAAATATTGCTTTAAGATTGTTGACGTCTATTGCTAAATCTGGAATAAAACAGATAAATCTGTTAGATAGCTGAAGTGCTATATTTTTAAACTTTTTTAAGTTTAGCTGCTGTGCGTTTATGAAATGCTGTGCTTAAAGCAAAATTTGACTTACACTTGTGCAAGAATCCCAAGGCCAAACTACTTTCAGGAACAGCAGTACAGTACACTGGTGTGCACCGACCAAGTATTGTCAAGATCTACTCGATCTATAAGACCTTTCGGTCAAGGCAAAGATATCATCGATCTGTTAAACTTTACGGTTCAAAACCTTTCGGTTAAAACCTTTTGGTTCATGAAAAGATCTCCTTGATTTGTTAAACCTTTCGGTTCAAAAAACCTTTCGGTTAAGACAAAAATCTTTCGATGTGTAATAACCTTTCGGTTCAGGGTTCTGTTTCTTCGGGTACAGACTAAAGCTTGTACGCTTTCAAACTCTGCTACAGCAGCATAACAACTAAAACACTTCAATGTGTTCTTTCGTATCTTTGAGAGCTGCCCCAAGGGGCTTTATTTATAGGCCTCTAAGGTCATCTTAATGGTTATTTGACTGTTACAAATCATAATGACAATTATGATTGTAACAACAAATGACTTAAATGCAACGCGAGGGTCGCTACCAGCCTCGCGTGAGTGCTAAAAGGCACCATCTAGTCCGATTAGCCCCGATCCCTGACCCATTGGCCTACGGCCCACTAGAACTTATGAGGGATTAATTGAATAAAAACAATTCTTGGCTTACCGTTGGCAAGCCTCGAACACATGACCTTTTGAAACACCAAAACTTTAACTTTCCACTACGTTACTAAGAATTTCTAAAAAATACAAGTAGTTAATAAATACATAGTTTGAAAACTCATTTTTAGAAAATGGTTTTGACCAAAAAAATCCAACAATAGGATACTCACTGCAAAAAGAAAATTGAATCAATTATAGTTAATGAGCCGAAGGCAAGGGATAAAGATGAGGATGGCGACCAAGATGACAAGAATGATTTTGACAAAGAATCTGACAATAACGAAGTGCGCGTAACGAATATATTTTCTTCATGTTAACTTAGATTTTGTTATTTTGGATTTTAGTGCGTACAACTTATGAGAAATTAATATAATTACTATGAAGATGATGAATGAAGAAACCATTTTAACAATGATACAATGCGCAAAATTTTAGCTATTAGATTCACATGTTATGGAGTACGTATACAATGATGAAGATCCTAAAATGGAAAACTCAAGTACTAAGTACAAATTTTGAAATTTTGTGTGTTGTTACATATTTTTAATACGTCGCTATTGTTCTTGCATGAACTATTCTGAACTATTTTCGGTTCCACCCTGCCCCCTAAACTATTAATTCGCCCCTGCTTGGTCATCAAAGACAATTTAATTACTTTGATAGGAAAAAGCCTAGGATGTCGACCGCACATGTGCCACCGGTCAATCCGACAGAAGCTCAATTTCTCACCCTGTAATATGCACGTTTTTAGTCGACTGGCCATACACGTTCTGTCGACCGACCAGAGACTGTAATTCAACAATCTGTCGATCGACCGGGCCTATGCCGTCGGTCGACCGACCCGAGGGATTTCCTGTACTCGTGTTTTTGCACGATTTTCTCAAATCCTTCGCGATTTTCTACATAATCTTTATTCGTTTTTCTTTTCTTATTGCCACGACACTTTTGCAAATTTGTAGTATTTTTCATCCTGTTTCCTTTTGTAATGACTGTAAGAAAAATTTTGTGCCCACACGTACACAACAGAGAAACAAAATTGACTACTCACAGGTACACAGTTGAATTTGACTGTGATGCTTACTCAGATTTCCTATCCCATGCAGTTAATATACACATTGGTGTAGAAAAATATTTCAGCAAACTAAAGAAGAAACATGAAAAAAGGGCAGGGTTCTCTAATGCTGTAGAGGCAACTTTTCACCTAGAAAATACTCTCATTGGTGTTCAAACTTAGCTTTTTCTATTTTTAACCATCTATCGGATTGCAATAGGTTTAACTGTTAAATAAATCGGCCATCTTCTAGCGCACGTCGTTGATATAGTTGAAAGTTGGTTGATTTAGCAAAATAAATAACAAATGGGCAAATTTGCAAAATAGACCGTTTTTGGAAAAAAATTAGCGAAATAGACCGTTTTTGGAAAAAACTAGCAAAATAGACCGTTTTTTGGGAAAAGAGGTCGATTTTGAAAAATGGATCAGAAAACATACGGGACTAGTAGTCCCGTATGTTTAAAGTTCACTAATTTTGTTGTTAACAAAACGAACGGGACTAGTAGTCCCGTACGTTTTGACAGTAGCCAATTCCACTGCCCAGCAAATCCACGGGACTACTAGTCCCGTGGATTTTGCAGAGCAGCTAAAGCCCCTGCCCAGCAAATCCACGGGACTACTAGTCCCGTGGATTTGCTGGGCAGGATACACCAAACATGCACGGGCCTCATTTATCGATTACAAGCAAAATTTTCGCCAAAAAGATATCATTTACAATATCACAACACAAATCTCATCATAGAGTACGTCACCACACAAATCTGACGTAATCAACAACATCACAACACAAATCCAACGGAATACACATCACATCCAAAATCCGACAAAAATACACATCACAAATCCATACGATAATATATATCAGTCTAAGCTAAACAAATCCAAATGTCTCAAGTCGACCCATACGATAATATGTAGTTTAAGATAAACAAATCCAAGGTCAATAAATCCATACGACAATATATATCTTAGTGGAAAAACTAACAAATAAAAAATCCACCCCTTCCAGATTATAAAAATGAATAAGTAATATGTGACTGTAAATATGTTATCATTACCGATGTCAATGATATGCTCTCCGAACGGTGGCGTGACTGATCATAAAGGACTTCATCATTATCCGGTCCGGGAAGCATCGTGTATATACCTGCACATATAACGGTAACTTATGAGTTTCTGCCAAATCAAATACATATGAACAATGTATCTACTTGCTAAATCAATAACATATAATGATGACATATCATTAGAAAATATTTTACTTACAAATTAATTGCTATCTACTTGCTCTTGATGGACAACGAGACCTATTATGTCCTAATTGATTACATTGTCCACATCGGGTTCGTGACGCTACTCCTTCACGACCTTGATCCATGGTAGATCTAATGCGTACGGATTTTGGTCGTCCAGCTTGTCTTTTGTGCTTAGGTGGTAATAAGTACGGTATATATAATTCCGGCCAATAGCGAGTATCATCGGGAGGATGAAAACTCTCCTTATAAGCCCGCCGATAATGATTTGTTGAATACCAAGCTGAGCAATATCGGTCATAAAGCAATCTAGCTCCACCATCTTGATTGGAACTAGCTGCTAAAACGTGTTGACATGGGATTTTCTGTAATTGTGGTATACTACAAGTACAACTGCACTCCTGATCGTCGAGATGAACGGTGTATGTACCATCACAATCTTTAACCTCCCACTCATTGTTGTTGAATTGTTCAATTCTACATGTTCTCACAGCCACAATCCTTTTCTGCAAAATAATCTCATTTTTTGGAGTGTACTTACTCGTCCAATTTGCACTATCAATGCGCCTCTTATTAAAATATGCGTTCAATCTATAAAACGTCCTTGCAACTAAGGCTTGAATTGGCATAGCACGGGCACCCTTAAGTACGCCGTTGAAACTTTCGGAACAATTAGTTGTCATCATACAATATCGCACTCCACCATCTTTACATAATGCCCATCGATCTTCGTATTGCGGCTTCAAGTTTTGTTCAATCCAATCGTGGGCTTCAAGTGATATGGATTTAATTTTCTCTCTACAATGCTCATATACCAGTGAGTCAGTTGCACAACCGGCTTGCCATAATAGATTTTGTAAATTGACCTCTCCATGTTTTTTCTTAAAATTAGCTCTTATATGCCGCAAGCAATATCGGTGATGATGTGGTGCACTCCACCCCTCGTGCAAGGCTCGTGGAATTCCTTTCATCCGGTCAGAAATAAAGGTAATAACTCGTGGACTTTGAACAGTCGGAATATATTTGTAAATACATTGAAAAAACCACTTCCAACTCGATGTATCCTCCACCTCCACAACTGCAAAAGCTACAGGAAATAGCCCACCGTTTGCATCTACACCGGTCGCAACCAAGATTACTCCTTTATACTTGCCATATAAATGTGTTCCATCGATACTTAAGAGCGGACGACAAAAAGAGAACCCTCTGATAGCGGGCCCAAATGCCCAAAAAACACATATGAACCTCTCCGTTTCTGGTGCGACCTCCTTAGACACTATGTCATATTCGGTACCCGGATTGTTCCGCACAATTGCTGAAAGGTAATGCGGAAGTAATTGGTAAGATTCCTCCCAATCTCCAAAGATTTTAGTCAACGCCTTCCTCCGTGCATCATATGCTTTAAACTTGGAAATTGTTATTCTTTTCATGTCATATACCCTTGTAATTATCTGTCCTGGAGTAAGATCAAGTTCCCGCCTAACTTCGGGCATAATTAGCTTTGCGATATAAGAGGAAGTCAAAGTCTTATGATCATAAGTTGCAGTCGAATTAGAACATGTATGGAGTCCGCAATAACTAGAGATTATAAACTGGCCAAGTGATTTTTTCCTAATAGCTGCATTAAGCTTCCATGGACACTTTGAATTTCTATCATCTGCAGCACTTGTATTCTCTCCTTGACCTCTCTCATTAAAGTAACACTTTACATGATAGCTAGTTGTGTTGCTTTTCACCGTCTTGAATTTGACCCGGTTTTTTATTGTCCATTCACGTATAGCGAAAATTAATGTTTCCTTGTTCTCGAAAAGATCTCCTTTCTTGAAAGTAAAGTCCTCGGATGGATCGAAATTAGGGCCAGGATCGACGAACTCAGCTTGTGAGGCATTTATCCACTCATCATTTTGAAACTCTTCTGGCAACGGCTCTTCAGACTCTACGTAGTCGTTATTTACGCAATATTCATCCATCCAACTTACGTCATCATTGGTCTCTCCAATTGCATACTGCATACTATCAAGACGTTCATCCTCTTCAGCATCTTCAGTATCATCATCGGCATCTACATCCTCATCATTATCCTCTGCTATTGTAGAACCCCCCGGTAAATCAACTGAAACATAACCCGGCGAGTTGTGGAACACGTCATTTGACATTGCACCCGACTCATTTTTAAAGCGCATGGCACTTTGAGATAACGAGATTTGATTATCAAGCATGCGGGAGAACTCTCCACGAGCATATGAAACTTCAGCGACCGAATACACTGGAATATTTTCAATAAACAACTCGATTGATACTTGTTTTTCCGCAAGCTGTATCATGTTATTCAATTCTTCATCATTGGTGATCTCTACAGCAATTGTTCTTTGATCATTTATTGGACAATTACAGAAGATCTTAATGGAATTTTCGACGTGATTAATTCCAGTGACTCTGTATATTTGCGCCACCAATCTATCAAAGTTGTAATTTCTGGACAACATGAACATTTTCCTAGAGCCTCCATCGTATATAGGCATATTATTCATTCCAACGCTCAGTTTTCCATTGAATAAGCAAATAATCGGTACTCCGTTCGCCATTTTAACTGAAGCATTAAAATTCATCATATAATAATTATATTTTTTTCCAGAGATTTTTCTAGACCATAATCATATATTTCTTCTAGATATACAACATTAACTAAACAATACATATAAATTTATGGAAAAATTAAAATTTGTACCTTGATTAAATCTCAGATCTCCTCGGCCTCGCAGAGAATCGACGGCGTCGGCGTCAGATTTGAGGGAGGAAGAGGTGAGTTGGGTTTGGGGGAGAGAGATAGGGATTGTTGGGTTTTGGGATAGATGGAGATCGGGTTTGGGAGAGAATGAGAGCTTTGATCGGCTTGGGAGAGAATGAGAGCTCGGGAAAGAGAGAGGGGGAGATCTAGAGTTGAGCTCAGGAGAGAGAGAGAGAGAGGGGATCGGAAGTGGGTGCTCGGGGGAGAGAGAGGGAGATGGCGAGAGAAAAAAACGAAGGGGAAAATGTGCCCTAGGTTCGGTGTATATATAGTCTGTAATTATACGGGACTAGTAGTCCCGTATAAATTGCAGTTAATGCTCGCGAAATCCACGGGACTAGTAGTCCCGTGGATTTGCTTGGCATAGGCTTCGCTGGCTCTGGAAAACGTACGGGACTAGTAGTCCCGTACGTTTTGTTAACAAACAAAATTAGTGAACTTTAAACATACGGGACTAGTAGTCCCGTATTTTTTCTGATCCATTTTTCAAAATCGACCTCTTTTCCCAAAAAACGGTCTATTTTGCTAATTTTTTCCAAAAACAGTCTATTTCGCTAATTTTTTTCCAAAAACGGTCTATTTTGCAAATTTGCCCATAACCAAATAGATCGATTTTGCTAATTAAATAATGGATTTTAGTCTATTTCAAAATCCGTAAAATAAATCATGACAGTTCTTCTAAATGTCTAAATTATAATTGTTTTCTCTGTTTTAAAACGCAAATTCTATTATGCATGGTACTGGGAAAAAAAAGAAGAGGAACAACTTTCTGTATTGCACTAGTGATAGACTATTATACTAATGTAATTGAGGGCAAGCATTGTTCTGTTCACTTGGGATTGTTAAGTAGAACAACAGGTTCATGTCTAGCTTTCAGTTGGACAGTTGGTGGTTGAAATTCCAAGCTCTGTCGAGGACTTCAGAGATGGTGGATTCTAAACTCCTCGTGGAGATGCTAGGTTGGAGGACGTAGCTCAATTGAAGGGCCTGTTTGTTTGGTAAAAAAAAGCAGAAAGTGGTAGAAAGTGACCAATCAGAAAACTGACGCAGAGAAAATTTACTATTTTCCCCCACAATCATATGTTTGGTTTAAAAATAAAATAAAAAGGAAAGTGAAGGAAAGTTCGGGCGCCATGTCAGATTCTTCCCTCGAAAATTTTCAGCTCAAAAAAACCCGATTACGGGTGAAAACACCACTTATCACTGTCCGTACAAAAATACCTGATTCCTCCTTCCCCTTCCATTCTCGTTCTGGTCACCCCTCTCCCTTTCATTCTTCTTCCTCCTTCCCCTTCCCTCCCGCCTTGCAAAGCCGAGCTTCCAATCTAGGGCTCGGCCTCTTTTGTTGCCCCCATATCTTTTGTTCCCTCCCGCCGCGGCCTCCCCTCCACCCACTCCCTCTTCGGCGTCGACATTGTTGTCCTCACCGGAACTGTTTAGTGTTCTTTCTGCCTCTTCCTTGTGTTAAAATCTCTCTTATCAAGATTTAAGTGGTCTTATTCAGAAGAAGGATGGTGAATAAATAAATGGTTTCACAAAAATATGACATATGCATCTATTATATCTATAAGATTTGCATGTTATGGAGTCAATAATTATACAATGAAGTCATTAGATTCTATGAGAGCACATTTATGTTACTTATACATTTGTTTTTTTTTAATGCCAATATTTATAATTATAGAGTTTCAGTTCTTACTTCTCCCCTAAACTATTAGATTTGTCGCTTCTTATCGCATGAACTATTTTTGGTCCCACCTTACACTTTAAACTATTAAATTCGTCCATGCTTCTCTTATTTTCACTCCCTACCTTACCCTCTGGACTAACATTTTTTTCTCACATAAATACATTTAAAATACCCAAAAAAATAATAAACAAAAGTCGGTAGCTAGCTATTAAAAGCAGTAGTGTAGAAGGTATCACGTGACTATACATAGTTCATGGGAAAGCAAGGACATATCTAATATTTAGGGGTTGAGGTATGACTAAAAATAGTTTATGAGGTGACAAATTAACAAGTTCAGAGGATAAAAATAAACTAAAGCCTATTTAAACAAAGTTACCAAAAGAGTATGTAATGGAAGAAATGACATCAAGAACCATACGGTGCTTCTATAGTAATTATATTATTGGCAAAAATTCAATGGTGGTCACTGAAGTATCAACCAATATCATTTGTGTTATCAATTTTTAGAAGTCATCAATCAGGCCTCTAACTTGACCTCTATCATCGGCCTAGATCTTTTTTATAAATTTTCGTGAAATCTTGTGGACATGACGATGATGCAGCACTACCAAATCAACAAAAAAATGGGTAAAAGTCCATGTTTGTCTCTTCGCATTATTCACTACAACACCTGAAATCTACCATAGCGGCCGAAAAACGCTATGGTATTATTTCATAGCGTTTTAATCAACGCTGTGTCAGAACCCGCTATAGTAGGACTGTGGTTTTACATAGCGTTTCCCCAAACGCTATCAAAAAGTTTCCAACCATAGCGTTTTTATGTTGCTATAAAAGAATATTCAATAGCGTTTCTATATTGCTATGACAAATATCTTTCATAGCGGTTGAAAAACGCTATTAGTTAGTTTCCAACCATAGCGTTTTTATGTAGCTATAAAAGAGTATTCAATAGCGTTTCTATATTGCTATGACAAATATCTTTCATAGCGGTTGAAAAACGCTATTAGTTAGTTTTCATTCATAGCATTTCTACGCTGTTATTGTCTTACATTTGATAGCGTTTGAGTTACTACAATGACGTTTCAATGAATGTTGTCTTTCTTCTTTTAATAGTATTTCAGCAATTGTTTCCACTTCTTATAGCATTTCAGTTGTGCCTGTAAACCTTTGAGGTTGAACTAGAAATAACTTCCAATTGTGACAACCATAAAAGCAAATATTTCATTTAAAGGTTCAAACTGATACATAACCAAGTTGTAGCATACAAGAAGAGTCAACACAAATGTGCCAAAAAACAAATACTAGTCTTTGGATAGTCCAACATGGAGTATAAGAAATTAACCATAGTACACAGAACAACAGAAACTAAATTTGCTGCATTACATATGACTTGGGAGACTCATCATCTTCAGCAATTGAGTACTTGTACTGCTGCAAAAACAGAAATTAACAACACCAATAATGAGATCCTAAAGCCATGAACATTATATGGACACAAAACAGAAAACAAAAACACCAATAATTAGAAATCACAAGCTTATATTAATTTCTTTAATAATTTTGTTTAAATTTTTTATTAATGAAAATAAGAAGACAATAATTTGGTACAATTAAAACCTAAAGAAAAAAGTTCCACTACACCACCAACCTCATTGTTTCTATTTTATTTTTATTTTTCTTTCTAAGGATACGATATTAGCCCGATTCTATCATTAGAACATTGGTTGGTAGAGAAGCGCATGCAGCTCAGGGTAAGTGAATTGGTTGCAGGCCTGAACTTCAAAGCTAACTGCATGTTCACTAATATTTAAATTTTCTATCTTATGTGTCACCATATGCTGGAATGTCACTAGGTAGTGTGTTTTTATCGCTAAACCTTGTCAAATCAGGTTCAGTTCCCATTGCGTGCAAGAAATTAATGTTTCTTGTTTGTTACAAGGTAAGTTGCATAAGTTTTTGCAGTTCGTTGCACGCAAAGTGCAATTTGTAGAAATTTAGCACCACTTTCAACAACAGAAAAAAATTGCTGGAAGTTCCCAGCAACTATATTTTCAAGAATCACAAATGTATGATCATTTACTTTGTCAAATCTAGCTTATTTAGCAACCTAACTTATTTATATGATTATAAGTTGGTTTACTTAACTTTTTTTAATTGGACTTCTAAGCTAGTTTGCTGATGATTTACCAATCACTTAGCCATGAAAAAGCTACTTTAAAAAGCTAGTTTGAGGGGGGAACGCTCTCCCAAGCACACTCAATATGAAAACCCTCTATAACTGCTCTCTAATCCTCCAAAGACCGCACAAAACACGCACTCAATTATCACAAACTCGAAAAGAGATTCTACATGAAAGCACAAACAGCATCAGCTCAGAACACAGGTAGGTAACCAAGGTACAATCAGCATAACGAAACTTCGACTCCATGTCGTGAAGACCAACAATAGCTCTATGTTTTTAAAAAATTTTGCGCAAAACCAAGCATCTTTTACCTGATGAAACGTACTGATAAAAGGTATTCATTAATCACATTCTTCCATGCAACTTGATGAAGATCAACTGGCACCTGCACTGTAATGCAAAACAAGCAAAGACAAACGACACGAATAAGACCTGAATCCAGCCTTTCATGCCTTCACATAACCAGAATACCAACATACCAAAATAAGTGCATAATAATTCATCAATTTCCCTAAGCCAAGGGTGAAAAAACATAATAGGTTCCCGAAGAGTCATCCCCATGAAAAGCCTATTGAAAGCATAATGCTTCAGCACATTCTAGCTAATTAGCATTCCCCATTGTTATCTACAAAGTCCCGCAACATCTTAAACTAAATTAAAGCTGCACTTGCTGCAGTTATCAGACCACCACCAGTTTGGTGCAGCATTTAAAAAATAATTTCATATAGGATGGGGATATCGGGGATATATCAGAGACATTTAAAAAAATATCCGGGTGTCATATCGGATAATGTGTATGTACAAATCAAAGATGTTGATACTTGGTGCACCAAAGAATTTAACTGTGGAGAAAGGTGTTATCTTCTGCAGAAGTTCTACAAAATAATTTGGTCTCAATTGAGCTCTTAAGTCTTCTTCTTGATTATTTGCATAAGTGGATATCTGATTAGGTTTTAGATCTCAATTGAATCATAAATCCAAACCAATCTTTTCAAATAAATACAACTCTAAATTGACATTCTAACATTCAGTTAATTTTTTGAGGATGAAATAATATCACTAGACATATAGGGAAATTCATAATATAACGCTAAAAATTGCCAGAAACCAGTAATATTGGAAAATTTGGCTAAGAGACGCATTTCGGAGGTAAGTTTTTCTCCTTTGCTATTTCTTGAGATTTCTCCCAACTATGTATAATGGAGGGGAAACATAAACTCGGATAAGACTGACAAATGGTTGGAAGAATCTAGTGGATCACAATTTAAAAGGAGGTGAATGTTGCAATATCCTCCTGAAGCTAATGACCCACATCAGCAACGGGCAAGCCTTGGTCACATATGAAAATTCTAAGGATTTGAGCATGAACAAAAGTACAGACTCCTAAATCATGGCACAAATCATTCTAAATGAAACTTATAACAGTAAATGAGTTGAACATGGAGTACAGAAAGATAGCTCACCCCAGGAGAAAAACATATTGCTCGGTCAAGTTATCAATATTCTTGGTTCTCTGTAACAAGATCAGCTGAGGAAGTATCGCAACAACCTCCAAATATAAGGAGAATGTCCACATAACCTATTAACAGAAATTACAAAGTACATAATGAAGGCAACAAATCTGAATGTATAATGGAGAAATATAAGTTCCAAGCAAGAAATTTCTTCACCATACCACAAGAAACAACAAAGTAAAAGATAGTATAGAAAATGACCACAAATTGCACCTTAGGCATGCATATGTTAGTTTATTAATCAAATTTCTTAAAAACCTGTATGAGTCAGTTTACCTCCTTGAAAGTAAATCTCTCATGTATACATAGGGCCAAGAACAGGCAAGGTAATATGAGGAAGTGATGGTGGAAGGTGTCCTGATCCTTATCATATGATCTGCGGACGATCTTGTGTCTTCTGATGTACCAGACTATTGAGAATGAGCTCCCCAAGAAGATCAACTCATTACGTTGAGGCAAAATTTTCATAGTAAACTGAAAATATGTGATAGCATATTATATGAATAACAAAATGTATTAAATACTACACAATGCCTTGAAGTTCTGACTCGCATAGAATTATATACATGGAGTTATTTAATAGAAAACTGCCTTCCTAACCATTTAAATTACAATCAGGTTCTGTTCGTGAAGCTAGAAATAGTGCAAGATTAAGTTACATGTAGACACGTCATTCTACTTGGTTGTGTCCACTGATTCCAACTCAGTTATTACTTGTTAGTAAGGGGAAGTCTTAAAGAATGTTAGAAAGCTAATGATATTGGGAAAAACTTGTACGTGTCATAATAACTGTAATCGACAGTTGTAGCCTAAGTACACATGACAAGCAGTTATCAGCTATTTCTTAGTAGGTGGGAAGATTACCATGGCCTGATGAGATATGATAGAAGATCAGGGAAGATACAAAGCCACTAGTAACCATGAGAAGTGTCAGAAAAGCAAGGTGCATAAGCTTTGGTAAATTGCCCTGTGATCGGAATGAGTGGATAGTTGCATTTTCTTAAAAAATCCCTTTTTATTTCCTAGACAACCTGTTCATTTACTTAAGAGAGCATCCCTTCCCAATGCTCACAGTATCATGAAATCTATTACTCTAACATAACCATTTTACCTAAAATCTTTAGTTACTAGTAGAGGCAACATAATCTTAAAACATTCTCTCAAGTAGGATCAGCTGAAAGCTTGACTCGCAAGCAAGGGATTGTAGAAGATGGTAATTGTAAGTGATGTTTAGCACCAGAGACTTATAAATATCGTTAAACATTATTCTCGAATGCTTTGTCAGTCAAATGCTTTATCCGAGAGCTTGAAACTAGTTGCATTTGCAGTATGAGTGTATGACACTAAAACATCACAGCTTCATAGTTCAGATTTTGTAAATTAGTTCTGCAGATCCAACTTCAATCCAAGCCTAACCAACAATAAACATAAAATCCTAAATTAGCACCATATTTAACAAAAACACATTACTTATAATAATCAGCTATATGAAATTTCCCAACTTACTTAGATGTCACATCTTTTATGCACTTGGCGTATTACAAAATCACTAAAATTGATTATACCAGTTATCTTCTGTTCCTGACATGATCATACTTAAAATAAATGATTAAATTGTTAAGAAAACATTGGTTAGTAAAAAAAATTCACCTTGCCGAGCTACTCATCAGAAACCCTAAATGAATTGATTCGATCTATGCCACCCCCATGCTTGCTCAAGAAACCTTTTAAATTCCTCAGATGCTCCGAGCTCGCAAGATGATTGATCGCATTACAACTACAAACATAAAAACTAACCAATAGAAACACCTAGAATCCTCAAAATCCCAAATTAAAAACCCTAGAAACCTCAAATCCGTACCAGGAGACGGAGCCGCCGAGATCCCATACGTCGACGGAGAAGAAAACGCACCAGAACCGGAGAGCTGAGGTCGACGATCTTTTGTTGGGAGCGGGAGAGGAGAGAGGAGAGGGAGCGCACGGTGAGGGGAGAGCTGAGGCGAGCAAGGGAAGAGATGAGTGGGTCTGAAAGAGAGGGGTGAGGATTTTTTTGGGTTAGGTTTTTTTTTCTCGGGGCGGGACCAATGAAATTTTCTGAAAGAGAGGGGTGAGGATTTTTTTGGGTTAGGTTTTTTTTTCTCGGGGCGGGACCAATGAAATTTGGGGGAGGAGACGAATGAAAATTTTGGGAGGCATGTTTTAATTTTCTGTCTCCTATTCAACGACGTGGCGTCAGAAAAAAAATTTGCCATCAAGAACTTATAGCGTTTAAAATTTTACAAACGCTATCAAAAAATAAGACACATACAATCTATAGCACTTGTAACATAAACGCTATCGTTCAACGCTATAAAAAAACAATCTATAGCACTTGTAACATAAACGCTATCGTTCAACGCTATAAAAAAACAGTTTTGTTGTAGTGATTGTCACATCAGTGGATTTCAAGTTTGCATTGAACTTTAAATTTCACTATTTTTTTGCTGACGTGAAAATGACATAACAAGATCACGTCACTACCGCATCAGTAAGATTTAACGGAATCTTATAAAAAGAATCTAGGCTTATAACTTTAGGAACTGGAATCTAGGCTGATAACTTTAGGAACTTCCAGTGATGATTAGGGGCTGTTTGGTTGGTTTCCTAAAAACCAATAATAGGAAATGGGAGCATGGAAATCTCCCATTTCCTATTTTCAACCATTTCCATCCCTAAAACTTACCCCAACATTCAATAAAATATTATTTTATCATCCAACTCATCTAATAAAATATTATTTTATCATCCAACTCATCTAATAAAATATTATTTTATCATCCAACTCATCCAATAAAATATTACTTTTATCATCCAACATCTAATAAATTATTATTTTTATCATCACATCATCCAACTCATCTCATCTCATCTCATCTCATATTTAAAAATCAATCACATCATCCAATAATATGGTGACAACTCATCTCATCTCCTTTAACTTTCATCTCCACCCATTTCCTCCAAAAAAACAAGGAAATTGATTTCCTTAAGTGTGGGTCACATCATCCAATAATATAATGACAACTCATCTCATCTCATCTCATCTCATCTCCTATTTTTAAGAATGAACCAAACACAAGAGAAAAACCTATTATAAGAAATAGGTTTCCTATTCTTTGATTTCCTTCTTTTTTAACCAATCAAACAACCTCAAAACAACTTTTTTTAAAAAATCACTCACATTATCCAATAATATTGTGACAACTCATCTCATCTCATCTCCTATTATTTAATTTCCTTTTTTTTTTAACCAACCAAACAACTATAAAACATTTTTTTAAGGAAATAGGTTTCCTATTCCTTGATTTCCTTCTTTTTTTGGCAAGCAAACAGCCCCTTAGTGATGATTACCAACATTAAGAACTGTTATGGTGTTCACTCACCCAAGACACGAGCATTTGCAAAATGATACAATAAGAGTCTTAGTAAAATAACCTCAAACCACTTAAGTGGCCTAAGCCCAACAGAGACCTCGACCTCGACTCATCAAGTCGACATTCTTTTATGCCGACACGAAAGGCGGGATCAGTCAACCCTATCGCCGAGGGCAACCCACTTAGGGCACTCGACCACTCACTGCAATTCTCGGAAACGACTTGAGGGACATTCCTTGCTGTCGACTAAGTTAAGAACTCGGCCCAGCTGCCCACGTGCCTCCATGACTTATCAATCACTTCCCGAAAAATATGGAGACATCCTCTCTCATGCCGAAGTGACTTCCCCTTCAGTCGCCAGCCGACACATGTAGAGCAAAGGATGACTCACATTTTAGCTCACACTTTGTCACCGCCATCAACAATGGCCGAAGTGACCAATCTGCCATTGACGTCCTCTTCATATACAGATGCTAGTTGTCATAGTGACAGGTGCGCAAACTAATAACCCCCTAAAGCATACATGGCACAAAAAGAGGAACATGCCATTCTTCGTCTAGACAGAGGAGCTCATGTAGATCCTCTGGGCAGAGACATTGCCACATCAAGAACTACATTGGTTCCTGACCTTCCCCTTCCCCACTCGAGTTTCACTAACTTGACCGTCGGACGAACAACGAGGGAATCGGTCCCCACCCTCTCACGGGTTCTTCTTATTTGTGCAACATGGACATCAATCCCCCATTCAAGAACCAGGCATAAAGTCGAAGGAGGAAGCGACCCCTCTATCACTCTCCCTTACCACGTCCCAGTGAGAACTCAAAGGTGACCGATCCAGTTCCTGACCAGAATCAATCCTAGCCTGGATCCAATTGGCTGTGTGATATTTAGCATCAATAGTTTGGCGCCCATTGTGGGGCCCCCTTTTCTTTTTTGAGAAGACATACCAAGTTCTGAACAAGGGTCCGATTCTATCCACCATGAAGAACAATATCGGAGTTGCATCATCCAAACTAAATGAAGTCAGGAGTTGTATCATTCAAGCTAATGAGAATTAGATTTGGCTAAGAGGAACCAACATAGGTATAGTCCTCGAAGGCCTCAGTGACGTATCTGGGGAGTGTTTGCCAAGCACACCATCTACTAGATGGTAGAATGACCTCCAGCCCCTCTGAAAACCCTCCAGAAGAAGACACACCATAAGGGTGGTTGTCTTTCTTGAAAAGAAACCCTGGCTTCTAATCGTCATCACAGAATAACTCTGGCCAGAACATAAGATCTGATCAGGCCAAATATCACTTAAGCTCCAACTGGCAATAGCTCATTTGAGTATATGAGCAGTGATTAAGTCTATGATAGGCACCTTGGACCATGAGGAATTTTGAAGGGAACTCTCATATATCAGGGATGAGATTGCGGGAAAAATTTAGGACATGTCAGCTAATTGTCTTCTCAAGAAAAATGACCTTGGCCCTTCAATTGACGCCTGCACCACTAAAGTTGCCTAAGCTCTGGTGGTCGAGGCAATGCACCCACATGATCCCCATAAGGGAGAGTTCTCCATTCATATCATGGTCCAGTCCCTAGTACTCCCGAAGCTCATTCGAGGAAACCGCTATGGTTTTTATTTTCAGGGAGTATAATATTGGCTGGTGGATTCTCTCTCCAAGAGAATTTCTACCACAAAATGTATCATATAGCTTCTGGTCGTGCCCCCAACCCTTCCGAACCCGACTTGGGAAACGCCATTCAACATGTCGTGGCGTATAGGTAGTTCCTTTCGCTAAAAGCCGGCATAGTGCCAACCATCCGCCTTCAAGGCTTTACTGAAGATTCAGACTCAAAAAGAACCTTCACTGATGAGATGGTAAATAGAGTTTCAACTCATCTTCATCTATCATTGAGCAATCCTCTATAAAAAGAAAAAGAAGCAAGCAAAATCCAACTAAAGAGGCTCTATACTGGCAGCCTCATTCGTTACAAAACATCTTTTGTGAAACAGAGACAAAGCAAGATCATAAGTGGTTCA